AAACCGCCCCCCCCCCCGCCAATAACGGCGATTTCTTCCCCCGACCCTTCCCCGACGACCCGGACCGGAGTCCGAACCAGACCCGAACCCCCAACACTAAACGAAGCTCTTACTACTACAAAAAACTCAAACCCTCCTCCACAAACCCTAACCCTACCACCAGCACTACCGAAGCCGAGTCCTCCAGCGGACAGGAAACGGCGTCGCAGCGGGGTGACTATCGGAAGGACCGCGAGGAGTGGAGCGACACGGCCATCTCGTGTCTTCTAGAAGCTTTTACTGAGAAATTCAATCAGCTGAACAGGGGAAACCTGAGAGGGAGGGACTGGGAGGAGGTGGCTGAGATGGTCAGCGAGCGATGTGGGACTGGTGGTGGTAATAAGTCAACGTACAAGACCGTAGAGCAGTGCAAGAATAAGATTGACAATTTGAAGAAAAGGTACAAGGTGGAGCTGCAGAGGATCACTAGTAGTGGGTTGGGGGCCAGTCATTGGCATTGGTTCAAGAAGCTTGAGGTCATTCTGGGGAGTTCTCTTGTGCCTAAAGGTGGCGGTGGTTCGGATGAGGAACGCAGTGGCGGCAGAGCCAATTCTAATGTGGCTAAGCAGCCTAAGAGGTATTGTAAATTGTAGTAATAAATCTGATATAAGTTTGTTGATGAATTGATTGTTTTGGTTTGCTGGGTTTGTGATTTTGTGTGAATTATGAAAAGGGGTTTGTGAATTTTTATGTGGTTTTAAGACTAGGCAATATAAGAGGGTGAAATATATGAAACTGCTTGGACTTGTTTCTGTAGCTAAAAGTGCGCCCTTTGGAATAGAGTTAATGGCATTGCTTTCATGTTTCGGTGTTGTTACTGGTTGAAGACGACGATGGGCCCTTTATAGGTTTTCTTGCTCAAATGAGTGAAATAAGCTATTGTGTGATTAGTGATTATTGGTTTTCTTCTCCCAAACAAAACATCTTCATGGAGTGGCAGATATTTCTATTGGCAGATACACACCTGGCAGCACTGGATTTACAAACAACCTGAAATCCAAATCGATGCCAAATGTAAAATGGAAAAGAGTAATGCTTAAAATTAGTGGTGCTGCGTTAGCTGGGGACTGCCAGAGCATCGACCCCAAGGTGCAAGTTTTAGCTGACAGATTATTGATATTTGATCAAGTGTGCTGAATAAATAAGCTGAGCTGCTTCTTTCTGTCGTTAGGTAGCAATGCAGATTGCTGAGGAAGTGGCAAGAGCTTGCCGTCTTGGAGTGGAGGTGTTTCCTGAACTTGCATTTCTTTTTTAACAATAGATTTTACTTCCAATCCTTAATAATATTTGTGTTTTTTCTCCTAACTTAACTTTTTTAAATTATATTCTTTGTAAAGGTAGCAATCGTTGTTGGAGGCTGTAATTTCTTTTGTGGAGACACATGGGTGTCTTCTACTGGATTGGATAGATCTACAGCATACCAAATTGGGTAATGTCCAATGTTTTGACTGTAATTGCAATTATTATCTGGTGTCCGCTACTTTTGTTCAATTATATGGCTTGGATATCATCGTGATTGTGTTCAAATGGTCAATGAGCAACATCAAATTGGGTAATGCCCAATGTTTTGAACTGTAATTGCAATTTTTTTCTGGTGCCTTCTACTTTTGTTCAAATTATGTTCGAATGGTCGTTCTCCTTGATCAAAACTAGTTTTGGGTACTTAAAGGGGGCCCCTTTTGATTTAAGCATGTCTGGATGTTTTGCGTAGCATGTATTTGCTTTATTTAGTGGTAGAAAATTGCAGGGATTTTTAGAATTAGCTAGATTTTGCATATGCTGCCTGTCTGGGTGTAAAGTAATGTGGGTATCGGTAAAATCTTTTAGGCTTATCTCTTTGTTTGCTTCAGTCGATAAAAAGAAAATCCTTTCCTTGCTTACATCTTTGCATTTATATCTTAACTTCTTTTAAAAGAATGGAATAAGTAATCAATACACTTATCCTAAACTTTGGATTGGTAGAAGCATACTGATGTTTTGACGGTTGATTTCTTACCAGTATGATGGCAACAGTCATGAATTCTGTACTACTTCAATCAGCTTTAGAGAAGGTAGGTGTTCAGGCACGGGTCCAAACAGCATTAACAATGCCAGAGGTTTCTGAGCCATATAACAGGCTTCGAGCCATACGACATCTTGAGAAAGGCAGAGTTGTTATATTTGGTGGAATTGGTGCTGGCACTGGAAATTATCTCTTCACCACTGATATTGCAGCAGCCTTGCGAGCTTCTGAGCGTGAGATTCTACCATCTCCCCTATATGTTTTGTTTCTAATATACTTTTGTTTTCTCTATGCTTCTTGTTCCTTTCTCTCTGTTCCATATTTTAACCATGATGTGTACATATATGTTTTCTGGTTCAGTTAACGCAGAGGCAGTCCTTAAGGGTACAAACGTTAATGGCATATACGAGTGTCATTCTGGTAGCAACAGTGTCACTTTTGATCATACTTGCTATAGGGAGGTTGTTTCTAGAGGCATTACCTCTGTGGACATCATGGCATTAACATACTGTGAAGAGAATGGAATTCCTGGTTGGTCTCATTACTTTCCTACTTGCACAAATGTTAAACCCTCATTTTCACTAAGAATAAATGTGCTTTCTCTGTAGTTGTAATTTTCAATTTGCTGGAACCTGGAAATATTTCAAGAGCTTTATGCGGAGACCAAGTTGGAACTTTGATTGATCAGGCAGGAAGGATTGGCTAATGCATATGGAGCCATCCATTCCAATGCTTTGAAGTGCGGTTTAAGTTTCTATGAAGTACCACTGGTCCTGAAAAGGATGTCGGATTTTCTGTTTCAGTGGCTCCTCTTGCATTCACATGACTGTAGTTTCCCTCAGAAAACCTGAGTCTTCGTGAGAGAGAGCACGAAAGCAGATGAGTTGAGGCAGTTGGTTCATTGTAAATGTTAACAATTGTGTATTAAGAAAGCAGAGGAAGCAGCTGGGTTAGGCAGTTGGTTCATTGTAATTGTAAAATGTAAAACGGTTGTGTAATAAGAAAACAAAGGAAGAAGGCGGGTTAATGCCTATGTAAAGCTCCCAATCAACCGTAGGAAATTCATGAAATATTAGTTCACAGTTCATCCATTTTTTCGGCTCCTATTTCATCTCTGCACAGAGTTGACCCATCTCCTAACCATTAAGTTCACCTTTTCTTTTCTTTTCTTTTTTATTTATTTATTTATTTTTCTCTCTTTTCCCTGAGCCTGTAATTCTTTTAAGCTTCTTTACTGCTAGTCCTGTTGTAACCCAAATATTTGGCTGCAGCCCTTCTTTTCGTGTAAAATTTTGACTGATTATTATACAATTTTCTTATGCCTAATTGTAATTGTTGCCTGACAATTTTGCAGTATATATACAACCAAATGTTTAATTAGTTGAAGCGAATTAAAGGATTAATAATGGAGCATTTCTTTTGGATACTTGATTTACCAGTTTCCCTTCATTTATTTAAAGAACGAAGCTTGGCTTCTTAAAACTGAGGATGAATTTTTTTTTAAACCAATGTGGTTTTGATATTTGTAATATTTCAGCAAAATTGACAACAAAAAAAAGAAGAGAAAGGTAAAGGAATTTGACAAGTGTCAAAACTACATTGAGTTCATCATCGTTGAGTCGGGCTCTCACAACTTGTTGAACTGTTTTGCTGCAATTGTTGGTGTATTTCCAAAATGGATGGCAGTCACTGCTACCTTACAAGGCAGGGTTTGCATGCACCTTACAAGGCAGCTGCCCAACACAATTTTTTCCAAACAAAGATATTGAATGGCCAACTTCTCTCCTCTTGTCTTGTCTACAACAACTTCTCCTCTTCTTTGCAGAAACTTCTCTTCTACTTCTCTTGACATATAGACATCAACTTCTCCTCTTGCTAGCAATAACTTCTGTTTTTGGCAACAATTATTCTTCTCATTCTCTCATTTTTAATTATCTTATGCATTTTCAATTTGAAATTGAGTATTACAGGGTTTAGGAATGAATTAAAATTTGAGAATTTTGTTGAAATTAATTAGGGCTTTGATTTTAGGAATTTTGTTGAGATGTTTGATTTGTTGTTGGTATTTTTGAGTTGTTTGATTTGTGTTGGTAAGTTTGATTAAATGCATTAATGCTATTTTGAGAATTTGTTTGTTTTTGTTGAGATGTTGATTTCTCTTCTTGGCAAAATCTTTCTGAATCTCTCATTGTTAAGCCTCAAGTTGAAAGAGTTGAGAATCAAAGAGTCAATGATGATCAAGATTTTAGGATCAATTATCTCAAGTGTGATCTAGGATTATGTTGTCTAGTTTTAATTTTTGTTTTTTGTTAAACTTTTATTTATTGATAGAGATGCATTTAAGGGTAAGGCTCAAAATGTCCCTCTGACTATATGTATCTTTATATGTTTATTAACGAAATCCACTTGTACCGTCGAGTTTAGTATATAAGTTTTGCCTAGCCGACTTTCGAATCCTGAAACCGACATTGCATGCACCACTTCTAAATAACCAAAGTGTTGAAATTTTCTTCGGCCATATATGTTTAGTGCTCGTCTTCTCCAAATTTGGGGCTGATGGCTTGCCTATTGTGGAATGCTGGAAAACATGATTAGTAGAATGGAAGGGGAAGATGAGGAAGGGGACGAGGAAAGGGTGGTGGCGGTTCAGGCAAGCAGGAAGGGCTCTATGGATATGAATGGTCAGCTGAACAAACACTAGGCAAGCAAAAACAAGCACATGATTATCACCACAAGGCATAGAGCAAATTTGTTCGTCATATCATTTTCAAATCCATTGCTCCCCCCCACCCCTTATTTTAAACACACATTAACAGCGAACAAAGGGTAGAATAAGGTAAACACCGGGGAGGTAAATTGCTCAACCAAGACTTGAATAAGTTCAAAAAATAAACAGGAAACACTTAGATAAGAATAAGATGGTTTAGTACACGGTACAACACCCATAGCTAGTTCACAGTAAATCAAATCTTCAAGAAGAACTAATGGAATTTTCTTCTCCTTTCTTTAAGACCTCAATAGCACAGAAGCTTTTTAGTTTGTCTCTCTATAATGATGATAATCGGTGCACTCGTCCTCGCCAAACTTACATTCACGACCATCATCGGCACATTTGCGATTGGGATGTAAATGGCATTGTCTACTACAACAGAAAAACAAAAAGAAAAGGATGAACTTGTTTAAAAAGAAGAAGAAGAAGAAGAACTTAGTAAGAGCATAGTAAATTAATGAAGGCTGTTCATGTAAACACAGAAAGGACAATCTGGAGGGCTGTCTCGCAATCATGCTGCCTATATGAATCGAGAATTTTCTCTAGTGGAGTTTTAACATGGTTATGCCGATCTCGAAATCCTCCCGGTATTACCGTTGCTTCGTCTGGATATTTCTCCACTATCACCTCAGGATTATAAGGTTCTTCTAAATAAGAGATATTATAATACAAAGAAAAAGGATGTTTAAGTGACCATGAAACCAAACTATTAAGGCACATATATCAACGAATATAGTGCTTCAAGAAAGTACCAAAATTTTAATAATTCAATTGAGTGGTCAAATGATATCGAATTCAAGTGATTTTTTTTGTAGAGATGATCTTTGAGTGTGTATCTATAAAATGACGATTCGGATTAGTGAAATACAATACAGAATGGGCCCTACAAGGGTGTTTCTCAAATAAGCTAATTTGAGAGATCCCTCAATAGAAGCTTTGTGTGTGTGTGTGTGTATATATATATATATATATATATATGGGGGCAGATCCGTAGCACTATGTTTTTTATACAAGTTTTGACACAAGTTTTCAACCATTAGATTAGAATGGATTGAATGGTTGAGATTATGTTTCATTAATTACTTAAATTAAATTAAATCACTCAATTATCTTTCCCCTCTTTGTTTTCTTATCATTTTCTCTCTTCTCAATTAATAACCCGTGAACCTCACCATTACCTTCCCCTTGCCATTGTCATCTACACCAACCGAGCATTCTTCCAACCGAGCATTCTTCCACGACATAGAAAATCTATCTCAAGCTACCAATATTGAAGAGAAAATAAGATATTAATATTTAAGCAAAAAAGAAAAAGCCCAGATTTGTTGCAATATTTCTTCTCTACCGTTGGCTTGATCTAACTCTGTGTTTCTCTCTCTCTCTCTCTCTCTCTCTCTCTCTCTCTCTCTCTCTCTCTCTCTCTCTCTCTCTTTCTCTCTCCCTGTTTTTTTTTTTCTAACATCTTAATGGCTTACGATCTTTATTCATTATGATTAATAATAACATTAAAAAAAACTCAAAAAAAGTTAGGGATAGAGAAGAAAAAGAATCAGAAACCTGTAAAGCTTTAGAAGAAAGAGGAAGGAGGATGGAAAAGTCATTAACTGAAGAATTCTAGAGGATAGAGAACGACGAAATAGAAAGATTTTATAAAACATTGATTTAGGATGCAGAAATAAGAAAGAGAAAGTCAATTAATAATTATTTTTAATATATATTTTTCTTTTAAAATATAATTAGATTAGTTAAACTTAGCCATTCAATCCATTTCAATCTAATGGTTGAAAACTTGTGTAAAAAATATAGTGCCACGGATCCGCCCCCTATATGTATATATTATTATTATTATTATTCAGGCACGCATGAGATACAAAATCCACAATTTATAATTTCTTTGAAAAGAAAGAAAGATTTTTTTATTTATAAAAATAGTAGCAATGACTAGAGAGATTAAGTAACAGAGAAAGTAGTCTAATAGATGATATATGTTATGGTAGGAGAGACATTGGAACATGTATGTTATGGTAGGATGGTGCAATGAGTACTAAATAAATCAGCAGTCAAACAAAAAATTCAATAGAGAAAAAAAAAGGCAGCATGATGCGATGAGTAATGAATGCATCATGTAAAATAACACACAAACAAACAATTCAAGGGCCGGAAGCACGAAATTAATTAATTAAATGACAATTTACAAGAAGGCATATGCTTACCACTTTTTCCAAAAAGCTGGATAAGAGATCTTGCTGCATGCAGAGGTAAAACAATGCAGCCTGTCAGTCAGTCAGTATTCTAATAAGAATCCAACCCACCCACAACAAACATGCAATATGCAATTTAAAGGGTAAACAAAAAACAAAAGACAAAATCCAAAATTTAAAAACAAAAAACAAACCAACCCAAACCAAACCAGAGAGGATACAGATGAACTGAACTGAAGAATTCTATTCCAAGCTCGATCTATCAAGAGCACTAACCTCTGATACGGGACTTGAATCAGAAACCGTACTCGTAAACGGCACTCAAAGTGGAACCGGAACTGGTACCGGAAGGGGAAGGGGAGTTGGAACTAGTAGGACGGTAACAAGGATTGCAACGGATACCACCATAACCAGAACTAGAAAAGGAACGGGAACCGGAACTGACACGACCTATAGAATGGAAAAACGATAGGATGGGGAGAAAATATTCTCTGGGTTTAAAGCAAATAAACTTTTTTATGATTGATGAATATGTATAAGTTAAGGATTGTACTACCAACACATGTAATCTAAGAAGCACGGATACGGCAGTTAAGGGACGTATCCCGTGTCGGATACGTGAAGGGATACGATACGCACAAGATACGTATGGTTACGCAATGGATACATATCCGAGTCAAGAAATACGGTCAACAACACCACCAGCTTTTTAGGTACCTTTCTTCAACCTTTTTTTTTTCTTCTCTTTGTGTCAATCTATTAGAAAGAGATTTGCAATGTCTGTTCTGTATTAACAGTGTATGCTGCAAAGGTTGTACTAGTGACACATAAGTTAAAGGTTGAGAAGATAAAATTAATATCGAAAGCTACCATATGATTTGAATATGTAAAACAAAAAAATTCATAAAGAGCTACATGCATGCGTACTGAGACTAATTAAGATGAACTTGCAAGTAAACAAAATGGTGTTGGGACACCATTTCCCCAATAACTTGGAGGGCAGTGTTGGGTGATGGTTTCGTCCTCTAAGTTGAAGATATGCCCATGTCACATCACATGCTATGGATGCATTTTCTCCAAAAGTGATGGAATCATCTGTGTAGTATATGCAGGATACACT